GAATACGTTTTATATATATGCGAAACTGTGTATTTATGTCCGATAAACACAAAGATGTGTGAATATGCTGATGTGCTCAGAAATATATTTATTTACTAATATATTTATCCATGTACCAGTCTGCTGCCTGCGTTTGTTCTTCGCGCGCGGGGCTGCGCTGGCGRGGGAGCCCCCGGGGAGAGAACCCGGCCCAGCCCGGCCGCTCGGAGCCCCCGCTCAGGCCCGGGTGGGTCCCGGGGCGGGGCGGACCCGGAGCCGTTCCCGGAGCCGTTCCCGGGGCGGGGCCGGGGCCGCGGCGCAGTCGCAGAGCGAGGCCGGGGCAGCGATGGCCGCGATCTCGCTGGAGACAGTTCCCAAGGATCTGCGGCACCTCCGCGCCTGCCTGCTCTGCTCCCTCGTCAAGGTGGGCTCGGGAAGGGGACAGGGGCCGGCACAGGGATTGCTTCCCGCCGGCTCCGGACCTTCCCCCGCCCGGCTTAAGCCTTGCAGCGCCCCCCGGGCCCTTCTCCCCGGCACCGGCCCCTCCCGCCCCTTCCCCGGCCGGTCTGGGCCTTCCGATCCCGGCCCCGGCCCTCCCAGCTCCAGCCCCTCCRCCTCGCCCTGGTGCTCCGGCCCCGATCCTTCCCGTCGCAGGCTCCTCTCCCTCTCGGTCCCGGCCCGAGCCTTCCCGGCCCTTTCGCCGCCCGTTCTGACTCTCCCTGTCCCGGCACTTCCCGGCCCAGGCCCCACTCCCCAGCCTGGACCTTCGCGRTCTTTCTTCCGCCTGGTGTGTCCCWMCTACCCCGGCGCGGCCTCTCAGCTCCTGCCACGACCTTCCCCGCCCGGATCTCTCTCCCTCCCCTGCTCCCGCAGCCTCTGGGCGCTTTCTGTCCGCCCGGGCCCTGAACCCTCCTCGGCTGTTCCCTCCTCCCTTCTCTCAGCTGTTCCCTCCCTTTTCCCGGCCCSGCGGCCGCCCAGCTCCCAGGTTGTCCCGGCCCCTGACACCTGTGTCCCCTTAGACCATCGACCARTTCGAGTATGATGGCTGTGATAACTGCGAGACGTACCTGCAGATGAAGGGCAACCGCGAGATGGTCTATGATTGCACCAGCTCCTCCTTCGACGGGTGAGTGGGGCTTGGGCCCGGCCACCTGAGGACACTGAGGTGGCACTACGGGGTCRTCTGGCCGGGAGATGTCTCCTCACTGCCATCCCTCCTGCAGGATCATCGCCATGATGAGCCCTGAGGACAGCTGGGTCTCCAAGTGGCAGCGGATTAGTGAGTAATTTGGGAGCTGAAGATCCCTTCTCAGCGAACCCTTCTCAGATCAGTGAGAGGGGTTCTGCCCCCCAGTGTCCCCCCCTGCTTCGGCAATGAGGGGACTTCTGCACAGGTTGAGAATTCCCACCTGGCAGCTCCACATGGGGTAACTTGGGGTTTTCTTTCCCCTAGGTACCTTCAAGCCAGGTGTCTATGCAGTGTCCGTGACCGGGCGCCTGCCACAAGGTACGTGTGTTATGGAGTCAGGATTTGGAGTTTGGGGAACACTGCACACGGAACATGCCATGTGGGTGACGGGATCAGCAAAGGTGTGACAGGATCAGCAAAGGTGACTGCGAGGAGGTGCTGGACTGGGGAAGGAGTTTCAGGGTTCAGCACTGCACCTGCCAGAAGTTTATATTGAAAACTGCTGGCTAAACCCTGGCTGTCAGAGGGAAAAACTGGGATTAAAGAGGGATTCTGGAAAGTGAGGATGTCTCAAACCATTCAGCTCTAGGAAAACATGGGGTTTTATTCATCAAAAAGGGTTTGGCAGGATAGGGTGCTGGTATGGCAGTCCTGGTGAGCAAACCACTCTTGCACTGAGGGCTTATGCCATGGTGGATTTGTGTGTTTACAAATGGAGAGGAGGCATAGAGGATTTGCCTTATCTCTGGAATGCAGAAGGGACATCATACATCCAGCTGAGTTCCTGCCTGGTATATAGCCCAGAGTAGACTCCTCACCCCWGGAATGAATGCTAAATCCCTGGGGTGAAAGCTGTGCCTATGTCTGGAATCCCAGGCTTCTYATTTTTGACTGAGCTCTGCATTGGGAAGGAGCTGGAAACATCACGAGGCCAGAAGCATGAGGTATGACCCAGGCACATCTGAAATACCCAGGTTTAGGGTTTAAGTGGGATATCAGGAAAAGGTTCTTTTCCCAGAGGCTGCTCAGGCACTGGCCAGGCCCCCCAGGGAATGGTCTGGCTGCCAGAGCTCCAGGAGTGTTTGGACAACGCTCTCGGGGACACACAGGGTGGGATTGTTGGGGTGTCTCTCCAGGGCCAGGAGCTGGTCTTGGGATCCCTGTTGATTCTTTCCAACTCAGAATATTCTGTGATTCTGTGAAATGATGGTTGTTCAGTTCTATGTGACAGAACCACCAGATGTTCCCAGGGCTCCTCATACCAGGAGAAGATTGAAATGTSTTTGTCTCCTTTCTGCAGGGATTGTCCGAGAGCTGAAGAGCCGTGGYGTGGCATACAAATCTCGGGACACAGCCATAAAAACCTGAAGGATCTTGTGCTGCTTGGAGGATTTTGGTGTTGTGTGGAAGAGGCAGTGGGCACTGCTCCGAAATCTCTCAGCTTTATCCCGTAGGGAAGTGGGGCTGGGCTTGCAGTGTCCTGGCTCAGCTCCCCTCACTCGGTACCTCTGGACTCCACCGCACCACRCCACAGACATTTATCTGAGCCCTGCCAGGGAGGAGGGTGTGAGTAGGGCTGGGAAAGAGTGTTTAGTCATGATGCCCAAGTATTTTTACAGTTTGTGTGGGAAAGAGGGGATTTGGGAAGTATCTGTGTAAATAGTTCAATAAAACCCACTGCCTGGTCAGGGCTGGGTCCAGCTTGTCACTGGTTTCACCACTGCAGGGTGGTGAGCTGGGGCAGAGTCACACTCACCCTGCTGCCTGTGCCAGACTGTTTGGAGCCTGCAATTGTCACTGCTTGCGCCATGGTCCACATTCCTGCCTCGAGAGGGAGATCCTGCCCTGGCTGCRCTGGATATCCTTCCCTGTGGGAAACCTGTAGCTCCCAGCTGGATGGAGCAGATATGATGTCCAGTGTCTCCTGTGAAGGTGGTTACRTGGAGGTCACAGGGCCTGCAGGTCTTTATGAGGGATGTGGTRGCAAGGTGGACCTTCCAGGACCTTCTGCTGGCTGTTGCTGGGCTTGAGGGCAGGCAGAGCAGGATGAACCCATTGCTTGTGTGGTCAGGAGGCAGTGCCAGCCCTGGCACATGGGAGGGGTGGGAACACCCATCCAGCCCAGATTCTCGGGATCTGACTGTTAGAAATGTCAGCTTAGTGTCTGTAACACCTGAACTCCTGAGGGATTCCGCCTCTTTAGCTGGTGGCTCTTTATTGAGTTGTTCCAGTTTATCAATCACGAAGGGCTGAGTCCTTGATCAGTAGCCCTGTAAAATAATGTTGGTTTTTTGTTTTTTTTTTTCCCTGAGATAACCCAGGAGCTAGAAAGCTCAGTTTTGTTTTCTGGAGACAAACAGTGGAAAACCAGTGCAGTCTGAAAATTGTACTTGATCTGGGATGAGAATGACTGCAGCACAGGGAATTCAGGACTGGCTGGGGAGTGACAATGGCAGGAGTGCAGAGGTGACATCCTCTCTGTACTGCTCTGGTTTGTGCTCACCAGAAATGAGTCGCAGGTGCCCCAGGTCAGCCAAAGCATGGCCTGTGTAGATCTGGAGCTGATGTGTGGTGAAGAGAAGCCTGGAGCACAGGGGAGCTGGAGGGGAAGGTGCCTTAAGCCACTTTTAATCCTTGGTTAAAAGATACGGTGCTGAAGTAATGAGTATTTGCTCAGTGCAGACCAGGGCCAAATTAAGTCCTTGCAAACATCTCCAAGTGCAGATCACCTTCTGTGGGAAGAGCTGAAAGCACATCAGCCCCTGGTCTGGGGATTGGACCCTCTTGGGAAGATGGAGCAGCAAGTTCAGTTCTGCAGGCAAAAGTGGGAGTTGACCATAACTTTCACATGTCCCCGGTGAAATCAAAGCCCTYGAGTTGCCTGGTAATCATCCTTGCTGGGTTGCAGTCTGGGCAGGAGAGWATTGAGAATTCCTAGTAGGTCAGGCCTGTGGAGCAGAGGTGTGACTCTGAGCAGCACAGGACCTGTCTCTGCCGGATGCTCAAGTTGAGGCATTCTGGACATGGGCCTGGAGGGCAATTTCAGGCTAGCTGTGCCCTAAAGGGCACAGGGTGTCCTGGGATGCCCCCAGATGCATTCATACTCTGTAGATTGGTCTGGGAAAGCTCCAGCCAGGGTTTTTTTTGGCGGCCTGACACATTCAGGCTGGAAGGGGACAAGGAGGATGAGGTGGGTTTGCTCTTTCTCCATCTGGCTGGAGATGGGTCTGGGGAGCGAGGGCTCAGCTCCATCCAGGCTGGGAGGATGCTGGATGACAGATCCACCCCCCTGCCATGCCCAGCCCRGGGAGCCTCATGCTGGCAGTGCCACGGGGTGGCAGCACGGCCCTTGTGCAGGGCTGGGGAGCTGCTGGAGAYTGAGGCACAAGCTCCATTTTCTGCTGTTTCACAGCACCTTTCAATGCCTGCTGCCTTCCCTTGGCTACAGGGAAAGGGCATGCTGGAGCTGCTCCACGGCTAGAGCCACATCAGGACCCTTCTACCCTGTCCCCATGGTGCAGAGGAGGTGACAAGAGGGCTCAACACAGGACCCTGAGCTTGATGGCTTGTTTGTCTGGGGTTTGTGTTGGGCTGAGGATCCGTGGTTTTCATCTCCCTTCCTGAGAAGTTGCAGTCACYGCTTGGGGCTGGGAACTTTGCTTAGGAAATTGTCCCCCAGTGTGCACTGTCATTGTGCCTCTTGGGGAAACTGAGGGGTTTTGGAAACCCTGCAGAAACCTC